GTCCTCCTTCAACTGTGTTCCATTAAATTCAACCAATGTTATAATTGTCTATCATGTGCAAAGCATTGTGCTAGATGCTGGGGATATAAAAACAAAACAAAACCCCCAGTTCCTGCCCTGAAGGAGCTTACATTTTACTTCCCCTGCATTTCTTAGTCCCCTGCCTCCAAAGTCCTCACCCCAAGAAAAAGTGAATCCAAAATAAGTAGAGATGGGGAATTGTCTGGTTTGAGAAAAGAGAAACTGGTGAAGAAAGCTCTAAGGCTGTGAAATTGAGCATCTATTGTCATGTTTAAGCTTTGATGGGTCCTTTCAAGCTTGTTTTTTGCTTCTTAGGTTAAATAGTTTGCACTACTTTTGCAATAAATTCATGGAAAAACTAACAGTTACTTTGTTTTGTTTCTTACTGTGTGTGTGTACATAAACTAATCCTAAAGAGTTAGCATAGTGTTTTTTTCCACCTCCGTACATAATTCTTAATATGCGCAGAATGCTGTAAATCCGACAAAAAAATATGATGTGAATGATATTTTATAAAGTTATTTTGTATGGTGTCAATTTTGTTTTGCCTCATAGTATGTCAGCAAAAAAATAAAACTGCTCATATTTACGACTATTTGTTTGAAAGATCCTGAATTATTCAAATATTCACTTGGGTACTTTCACACAGGTGGAAATTGAGAAATTTAAAGAATTATGTTAAGATAGAAGTATAGATTTCCTGTGCTAACAACTCTAATATTTAACAGTATACTTAAGTCAGGAGTCACTTGTGAAATGTAAAAGGTTTTCCTATTAGTAGATGGACTGAGAATGAGATGGAATGAAATTGAAAGAACTGATGAAATAACTGGGAAGAAGCGCCATTGCAGAGACCCACAAGATGTAATTTCAACCTAATATTCACTCTAATATAATCTAATATAACCATGAATTGTCAACATAGTTAACTAGTCTACTATTTCCCAATTCATATGTTTGCACACTTAAACTTGTTAACATGTCTTAAATCTTTAGCTTAAATTTGTTTAAATTTTTTACCATAAAATTGGTCAACATGGGGGGAGAAATACTGCTAATGAGTACAATGTTAATCAAGTTTTGATTCTACTACAGGATAGAATAAATAAACCTTAATATAGTACAGGATACAATTTAAGGTCATCATCTCTATACCAACCAACTCTTTATAGAGAATGAATGAAAAAGGCATTTATTAAGGGCCATACTATGTGCCTAGCATTATGGATGCAAATAGGCATAAGAATAGAAAATAGGTTCTTACTCTCAAGGGATTCACTTTCTAAATAGTAGAATATGAGGTTTCAGCTACAAATTATATGGAAAGGCAGAGTGGTCCTTAGGTTGCAGCAGCAAAGAGATAGTAATGTATATTTAAAGTGATTTACACTGATAAAAATCATACGTTGAACCATTTTATAATGCCAAGGATTTGGGTGGTGAGAACTTTATTTTCTGGGTCTTCACAAGCAGTTGCCAAGACATAAATCTACAGGGCTTGATTCCCTGGATAATGGCTGGGGGTGGGGAGGGGTAGACTGGAAGCAGGGCCCATGGTCAGGGGGCTGTTGCTATTCCCAGAGCTCTTGAGTTCAGGGTTTTGGGCTGTCTACGGGTATGATTAATCTAACTTCCATTAGAAAGTAAGGAAAGAGACCCATTGATATGATGTCATCATATAGAAATTCCTCATTAGTTCTCATCCTTCAAATCCAATCTGTTGCCAAAGCTTGTCCATTTCACCTTTGCAATATCTTTCCAACATGTCCCCTTCTCTCCTCTGACACTGTTACCACTCTGAAACAGACCCTAATCATCTCACACCAGGATTATTGCCATAGCATGCTGGTGCATCTGCCTACCTAAAGTCTCTCCCTATCCCAATACACCTGCCTTTCAGTCACTAATGTGATTTTCCCAAAGCACAGGTCCAAGCCCCTATTCAGTAAACTCCAGTGGCTTCCTATTGCTTCTAGGATCAAATGCAAAATTTTAGATGCTTGGCATCTAAAGCCCTTCATAACCTAGCCCCCTCCTACCTTTCCAGTTATCTTATATCTTACTCCCCTCCACTAACTCTTCAATCCAGTGACACTGCCCTCTTGGTTGTTCCACAAACAAGACACTCCATCTCTCAGGCATTTTCTCTGGACTCTATGCCTGGAATGCTCTCCCTCCTCTGCTCCAACTGCTCTTCCCTGGCTTTTAAGTCCCAACTAAATTCCCTTCTTTTACTGGAAGACTTCCCCAACCCCTCTTAACTCCCATGCTTTCCCTCCATTACTTATCTCCTATTTATCTTGTATATAGATTTATGAGTGTGTGGTGTGTGTGTACACACACACACATATAGATAGATAAATAGAACGTATGCTCCCATTAGAATGTAAGCTCTTTGAGCAAAGGTAATGTCTTGCTTCTTGTATCTTAAGTGCTTAGCACAGTGCTTGGCACTAGTGGGGGTTTAACAAATGGTTGTCGATTGATTTCAGTATAGGGACACATGTCCAAGTCTGGGAGTCCAACTGCAAATGGCAATACTTATGAATCCAGAGAGTATAAAGGCAAAAATGAACATAGGATCATAGGTTTACTGCTGGGTGGTTAGAGACTCTATCAGGATTTTTTTTTTTGTCATACTACTAATATCTGTGACAAGGTATGACATAGTCTCCTTGTGCTCTGATCTCATAAGACCATATTTGGAGTGCTTTATCATTTTCAAGCAGGGCACTGCTAAAATGAAATAGGTCAGAGGAGAGCAACTGGAAAAGCTGAAGAGGTGGCCCTTCTTGCCCAAGCCAACCCCTCTTCATGTCCCCTTTATTCCATTTTTTCCAGCAAATTGTCCCCAGAATCACCTCCTCTTCTCCCTTATCTTCACTTTCTTGATTAGTTCTTTTTCCATTGACTCCAAACACGTTCATGTTTCCCCCATTGTTTAACCTCAACGGCCATCTAGTTCAATGCATAGCTGAAAGGACTCCCCATTATAACATACCTGTAAGCGCACATCTAGCCTTGGCTTGAAGTCTTCTCATAAGAGATAACTCATAACCTTTTCAGGTAATCAAGGCTCTAAATGTTAACAAGTTTTTCCTGATATTAAGCCTGTTTACTTCTTTGCAATTTCCTTGCACTGCTCCTGGTTCTTCCCTCCGAGCTAAACAGAACAAAATAATCTAATGTCTCTTCTACCTTGAAAGCTGTTAAAATGCTTGAAGATAGCTATCATTCTCTCCCCCCCCACCCCAAACCCCACTAAATATCCCCAGGTCCTTCAACAGATGCTTGCATGGCATCCTGGTTGCCTTCTGGATAGTCCCCAACTTTCTAATGTCCAAAATTAAACTGCTCAAGATATGGTCTAGCCAAGGCAGAATACAGAGGAACTATCACCTTATTTCTGGAATTATTTCTGGAAGCTATGTTTCTCAGTGTAGCCCAAAATGGCATTATGTTCTTTTCAGCTGCATCTTCATGCTGCTGATTCATTGGGTTTGCAGTCCACTAAACTCCCAAACTATCTAAGCATGCTTGTGTCATCCTGTATTTGTAAAGGTGATTATAACCAAGATTCTGCACTAGTGAAACAAATCAAAGGAAATGGGTGAAAGTGACAATACAGATTTCAGTGCAATCCCCCATCACTAGAGATGTTTAAACACAGCAGAATGTTTTAGAATGTGATTTATAAAGGACTATTGATTCTAGCTCTGGGTTCTAGTATTTTGTTCTTCTTTGTGAGTTGGTCAGGTTAAATGGGACTGAGCTCTTTTAAAGGATGGTAATCTAAGAAGGTCTTTTGAGCAAGGAGAATGCAAGGTATATAGCACCTTAGGTTTGTCAGGAGCTGTGTGTGACTTTCCTGAGAAAGTCAGCAGAACAGATATTATATGAAAGCATACTGTAAATTATAATACACACTATTATTGTGGGGAAGGGATAATTTGGACTGAAGCTAAGGATTCACATAACAGTATAGTGAGGGAGAATGCTGTCAGTAGGTGTGACCTGCTTCTGGAAAACATTGAATACTACCTTATTAAGTCTGGAATTTATTTTGAAGTAAAAAGTTGTTCTTAAAAAATTTTCTTTCACACAGGGAAGTGACATGTATTTTAAGAAGGGTTAAAGGGTATGTAAGGATTGTAGAATAAGGAGGTTAGAAGCAAAGAGATTAATTAGGGAAGCCATTACAGAACAAATGTAAGATGAGGGCCTGAATTAGGAAGGCTAAAGTGCAAATTGCAAGTCAGGGACATAACATAAAGGTAGAAACAAGAGGCCTTGTTCACCAACTGAATACCGGCAAAGACTTAGTGCTATCCTGGGGGCTACACAAAAACAGTTTTTTTTTCCTTTAGGAATTTATAACCTAAAATAAATGTCATAGATACACATATCAGTACTAAAACATATATGTTGAAAACTGCACAATATGTAGAAAGCCTGTGTAGTTCTTAATTATGTACTCAACCTGAAAGAAAAGGACTTGAAAAGAATTCGTTTCAGTACACAAGCTTAAGACCTTTCATAACCTCTGCCAATGGAGAGGGAAATATTTTAATTTAATTTTTTCAATTTCTAAAAATCTATTTTCTCTCTTTCCCTCCTCCCTTTCTTAAAAAAAAAAGAAAAGAAAAACAAAAACTTTGTTTTGACTACGCATAGTAAAGAAAAACAAATTCCTACACTGGCCATTTCCAAAAAAATGTCTCATTCTGTACACATAGAGTCCATCACCTCTCTTTGTCAGGAAAAGCATTGCATGGTTCATCTGAAATCATGCACTTGATCATTGTGTTGATTAGAGTTCTTAGGAAATATTTTTAAATTTCATTTGTAACTAGGATTACCCCAACAGAACCTATTTGAAATCCTCCTGCTATTTCTCGATTCTATGTTTAGGGTTCTCTAGCAAGTGAGCCTTTTGAAAAAAAGCAAATGAAGCAAAATATAACAGTAGTCCAGGGCTGTCCTGATTTATGGACCATTTTATTAGGGGGAAAATTATGTACAATTTTTTAAAAATACAATCAAAAATCTTTTATAGTAAAAAATATAGCACTCTTTTATCAAAAGGTAAAAATTTCTTGCTATACAGAAATTAATATGTAATATGCTATGTACTACATATTTAACTGAAAATAAACTACATATTCAACTGAAAATAAGTACGGTCCACAAATGAAATAATTTCATAATATACATATATTAATTTACATTTACTATCACTAGAACTTAAATCTATATCAATTAATGAAAAAGAGAAGCATTTCATGTTTGTTTCCCTTAAGAATGTAGAAGTTCAATGCCAAATAAGACAAGCAAGATATTAGAATAAATATACAGCTCAGTGACACCTTCAAATATCATGTAAATGAGAGGTTTTGGTTTTACTTACTCCTCAAGGTAGAGTGGATAGATGGATTGGATATAAAATTCTATCCTAAAAATAATATGATCTGTTGGGAGTCATAGAAAACTTATGGGAATAAAATTTAACAGCTCTGTATTTAGTTTAAGAGAAAGGGACCAAGTGCAAAAGCATGGCTGGTAGCACAATTTAGGTTAATTATAAAGTGTTGCATTTTATGTTTTAAGATTCAGCTTCTTCCTCCTCACTCTCATCATCTTCATCTTCATCTTCCTCATCCTCATCATCTTCTTCCTCTCCTTCCCCCTTCTCTTCTTTAAGCATTTTCAGATATTTGCTGGCTAAAATCTTCTTTGGTAATATATCTTAAAATAAAAATTGTGGTATCAGCAAACAGTTGTAGTAGACAACCACAAATGCAAATTTCAAAGAGTACCAACTCCTGTTTAAAATGCCTATTTCTATCAGCTTGTAAAGAATGACAGAATTTAGGGTAGACATTTGGAAAACAACATAAGAAAAACAAACGTTAAAAAATATACCTATCACTGATGGCAGACTATACTGAATGCCTAGGCAAACTACCCTCACTGCTTCTAAAATACAGACAGGATATGAACTACCTTTGGACAATTCTGTAACAGTGCACACAAAGCTAAAATATTTTAAGTTGTGATGCCATCCAATAACAAAAGGCGAAAGTTTTGCTTTTGCTGGGGCTGCAAAAAATAGTTTTGATCTTTTTCTGCTGAGTAGGGGCTGAATACCCTGATCTGATGAAATACCTGCTATGCTTGCCAAACCTGCCAAGCATTCATCTACCTGCATACATGCTATATTTAGAAACCTGTGGCAATCTCAATCAGGAAAGGTTCTATTTTCATGACTGCAATATGAAACTCAAACTGTAAACTACTAGACATGTTTACAGGCTGCTTCAAAAGCTAAGTACCTGCAAGAAATTGAAAGGTTTCCGACTCTTCTGCAGTATTTGATAAGTCACTGTAAATAAGTGCTTTCTTCTCTTTTCCACTGCCATGTTTATAGGAATAGGTGGCTAGATACTGAACAAAGAGTTCCTAAAATGAGATGGGAAAAGATTAAAATTCAAGAAACATTCTGGTACTTTACATTAGTCCCTATTTTAAATTCAAACTAAGTTCAGAAAACTTCAAGTTTAAATTACATTATAGGCTTTAATGTCACTACAGGAGGCACAAGGTCATTACACTGTAGTTATCACTTTGATGTTGAGAGAAGTGTAGCAAATGGTCACTCCACAAAAATGTATTTTAGATTAAGTACGTAAATCAATTATTATCAATGATTGACTAAAAATAGAGCAATGAATCAGAAAGTCAGCCAATGATCAATTACCTAGAGTAATGGAAGAGAAAAGTAATGTGGATTATTTAAAAAAATCATATTTGGCTCTAGAGATGCAATTTTTTTTACCTTCCATTTGAATATGGGTATATCTGAAGTTCTGGTAATTCACACCACTGCAAACCAGATAATGAAGCCAATGAGTTGGGAGTTGTAAAGCTGGCCAGACTTCTTGCTCCCAGCTTAACTCCTCCATGCTGAGGATAGACAAAAATATCTCTTAAACTGATGCAAAGCACCAGCCTGAACTGTGCTGCACTCCCCCAAAGCTTGGCTTGTCTAGCCCATACTTTCTCAGTCAAGGAGGTAATAAAGGAGGTTTCAGCTTTAAAAGCTAGTAGCCTAATAAAAGTAAGGACCCAGAAAGCTCCCCTGCTTTCCAGCTGCTGCTGGATTAAGCTCATATCAGCAAAGGAGCTGGAAAAAAGTCTCTAGTCCAAGTCTTCGTGGTAAGGACTTAAAATGAATAAGGTGAATAAACCCTATGACTATCTTGAGAAATGGCAGTAACAGGACAAAATGAAACAGGAACCCATTAGCAATGACAAGCTCTAACCAAGAATACCACAAGTGGACTAGGAATCAATTTGGAAATAGTTTAGGAAAAAAAAAAGATACTGTGTCAACAAGCATAAAACACTGTGAAACCTTTGTTATTCAACCCTAGTCAAGCACTTAGTGTTTAGTTTTGAAACCCACTAAAACGAAAGAGTTCAGAGTAGAAAAAGTGATCATTAAGGGTGAGATACACTTTAAGGAAGATTAAAGCTATCATGATTAAACAGAATGTATAAAGCAACCACTACACACAAAATTCCTACAATTCTTTCTCCTTGTAAACTCAGAAAATACAATTACAGCAGGAGGGATCCGGACATCTTAAACCTATAGATTGTTAGACATTGATATGTTAATAAGGGAAGTTACAGAGTATAATGGGATTTTAAGGTAAATTTGGGGTATAGCTCGGCAGGGTAAATATAAGAATAAGGTTGCCAGTGAGAGTGTGGATTTCAAATATAAATAGCTTACTAGCTGTGTGAACCTGGGTGAGTCACTTAATTTCTATGTGCCTCAGTTTCCTCATTTGTGAAATAGGAATAACAGCAACACCTATTTCTCAGGGTTGTTGTGAGGACAAAATTACATAATATTTGTAAAGAGCTTGCAAATCTTCAAGCTTTAAATGCTAGCCACCTCGCTATGTCTACTAGACTCTCTCTGCTTTTTTATTCCAGTCATAACGCCCGTCTCTGTCCAAAATCACGGAAAAGTTACATTCTTTCTCTTAACTTGACAATTCAGATTTGTTCCCTAGATTCATTCCGTTCCGACGAGTGCCTTGGAATAGAATTTCTAGGGAGACATAACACAGCTGCAATAGATCACATTGCATTTGGCCAGGAGAGTCAAGGGCACTTCCAACCAGTGCTGAGGAAGGGCAGAATCTTAAACCTGAGATCTCAGCAGGTAAAGGTCACTCACCCTCCCCACCCCTTCGCTTCCCCCCAAAGCAAAACAAAAAAGCAAGTCATGAATTGATTAATGCGGGCTGACTTTTTTTTGAAAGTTTTTACCTTAAAAACCCATTATCCTCTGCAATTTCCCCCCCTAACCTATGTCAGTATCTACCTAACAACCTTTATTCTTAAAATGATCTTACTGTCTAAATCCCTCCCGCTGTAAATTTAGTTCATCTTTTCTGATGAACTATACTGGGGTGGAAGCAATCATAGCAACTTTGTTATTAAACGGTTTCCATCCGACATGCTTGGAAATATTCTGAACCCAGAACTTCTCCCTGGCTTGGCTGTCTCATTTCCCCTGCGTTTTTCCTCCCAGGGTTAGGGTGTCTAGGGTTGCTCCACGTTGATCTATTGCAACACCGGTTGGGGTCCCCTGGGACCCACAGCTCTGCACCCAAAAGCAGATCCAACAAACGACTGAAAACTCCCGGACCGCCACGCGGGATGGTTTTCTGCCAGGGCTCCGCCCTCCCGAATCCCAATGGCCGTCCTTTTTTTTTTTTTTTTTTTTTTTTTTTTTTTTTTACGCCTCCCCTCCGCAGGCCCCGAAAGGTTGCGGGCCAACTGCCCCTCGTGCTCGCGCTTGTGCTCGCGCTCGCGCCAAGCCAGGCAGCGCGTGCGCGCGGGGCCGCCGCCGTGGCTCCCAGGGGGCGGCGCGCGAGACGCGGCCGTTGGGGGGAGCTTGGACACCACCTCCTTTCCCCCTCCCCCCTCGCTTCCTCCCTTCCCTCCCGCGACTCACCGTGGCCTTGGCCGTGAGCACCAGCGCCTCCTGATTGATGCTGGACACCTCCGGGGAGCTTTTCATGATCACCCGAATGCGAGACAAGGGAAGCGAGACCAGCCTCTGGTCGCTGCATTTCTCTTTGCCGCCAAACCCGTCCGCCATCTTGCCGCCCCCGCCCCGGCAGCAGTGGCAGAAATCGCGCGGCCGCCACTACTCTTGCTGCCGCCACCGCGGCCCCCGCGGCCCCCGCCCCTTCCGAGATATCCGCTGGGCAGTTTGACAAATAAAGTTCATTGAAAGGGAGCCTTTGTGGCCCGTGGCCTTATGGGAAGCGTAGTTCTCTAGGGGCGGGACCACTGGCCCCAGCAAAGGGCGGGCCCGAGGGAGGTGACCACAAGTCCCGTAATGCTCCGCGCCGCGCCGCTGCTCTCGTGGCTTCGGTGAAGGAAGGGAGACCGTCAGACCCGCGTGGGTAGTTCGAAATCTGAGTCTACGTTTCTCTTGGTCCTGGGAGTCGGTGTCCGAATTCGCGTCTCAGCATATGCTCCGGACGTCACATGTCTGCGGGTCTGCTCTGAGAGGACTGCCGCAGGATCTGTTGTCGTCTTAGTCATCATCGTCTTTGATTTCCCCCCGCTGTAGCACCTGCAGGCGAGGCGACTTCAATGATCGAGTACATCAAATCCTAAAACTTCCGCCTTGGAAAGGACCCTAGAAGCGAACCATCTGTTAATTCAAAAAAGAGCAGAACCAAGCATCCAACCCATTTTTATATTATGTTAAAGAGCAGATGGTTTTGTAAGAATTTCATAGTAGTTAGTGTTAGAAGGGGGAAAGCAAAGGCCCAAAGAAAAGAAATGATTTGCCCAGGTCATCAAAAACCTCGATCCATCCAACCCCGCTAGCTATGGTCCTGTATGTCTCCTCTCTTTTGTGGCTAAACTTGAGAATGCAGTTCTACAAACGGTTCCTTCACTTCCTTTTACTCTCTACAGTTTTCGACCTCAACATTCAAGTGAAACTGCTTTCGCCAGCCGAAGTTACTAACATTCTCTTTAATTGCCAAATCTAATGACTTTTTCTTAATCCTCATCCTTTTTTTTGACCTCTCTATCCTCTGACATTGTCAGTCACACTCTTCTTGATTCAGTCTTCTCTCTAAGTTATCATGGCCCTACTCATGGTTCTCCCACATATCTGGCGGATTCTACTCTCTTCTTTACTCTGCCTTTTCATTCAAGTCAGAGTCTACTGACGTCAGGTGACCCACTGGACTCTGTCCTGGGCCCTCTTCCTTATACTGTTTCACTTAGTGATATATTCTATACCATTTAGTAAGCTTATCAACTTTCCTGGATTCAATTATCATACCTATGCTGTGGATTTTCAAATCCACTTACCCTCAGTATCATTTCTAACTTCCTACTGGAGGTGGGTAACTGGATGTCAAGTGGATATCTTAAGCTCCACGTGTCCAAAATTGAATTAATTATTCCCCCCCCCCAAAAAAAACCTTTCCCTCTACCTAAGTTTCCTATTACTGTTGCAAGGTAGCATCATCCTCCCAGTGACAATTACAATGTAGGTGCCATCCTTGACTCCTCACTTTCAAACCTCCCTCTCCCCCACCTCTTCCCCCTCCTGCCCAGGAACATTCAATCTGTTTCCAAGATCTGTTGATTTTACCTTGCAGCATCTCTCTCACATCCTGGTACAGGCCCTCATCACCTTATGCCTAGATTATTTCGTTAACTTGCAGATTGGTCTCCCTACTGTAAGTCTCCCCATTCCAGTCCATCCTCCAAGGTCAAAGGGACCTTTCTAAAGTTTGACCTTGTGACCACCCCTACCTCACCCCCTCCAAACTTTCAGTAAAGTCTAATAACTCCCTATCACTTCCAGGATCAAATATAAAATACTTTGGCATTCAAAGCCCTTCATAACCAGACCCTTTCCCACCTTTCCAGTCTTCTTACACCTTGCCCTCCTCGCCCTCCATGTACTCCTTGATCCAGTAACATTGGCCTCCTTGTTTTCACTCAAACAAGACACTCATCTCTGCATTTTGGCTGTCCTCCCTGCCTAGAATGCTTTCTCTCTTCATTTCTACCTCCTGGCTTCCTTAAAATCTCAGCTAAAATCCCACGTTTTACAGAAAGCCTTTCCCAATCCCCCTTAATTCTAGTGTCTCTCTTCTATTGATTATTTCAATTTATCCTCTTTTTAGCTTGTTTGTATATGACTGTTTGCGTATTGTTGCCATATTAAACCATGAGCTCCTTGAGAGCAGGGACTGTCTTTTGCCTTTCTTTGTATCTCCAGTGCTTACTTCAATGTCTAGTAAATAGTGGGTGTGTAATACATGTTTGTTGACTGGCTGACAAAAGGAGAGAGCAGAAAAACCAGGATTATAATACCCTTCACTGAACATGCTTACAGACAAGGGAACACCTGGTGGGGGCAAATTTCCTCCTATCCTACTCCCATCAATTGATACCTTCTTAGAGCTGATGAAGAGTGATTCTGTAGCTGCTATGCCTCTTGATGATTTACATGGCCCTTTAAGGTTTGCAAAGAATTTTTCTCATAACAAATTTAACAAACATTTATTAGTGCAAGTGTTACTCCCTGTTTCAGATACACTAACAAACATTATCAGGACAAATACTTGCAGAAGTTGCAAATAATAGATACATAATAATAACCCACACATAATAATGCTTTACTTTTTGAAAAGTAATTTGCAACACTACACCTGTTCTCCTGCCTCCTAAGTCCACCATTTTTTCCATTAGGTTACATTGTTAGGGGAAAGAATAACAATAACATGAAAAGGTAGTACTTGAAGGAGATAGGACTAACAATTGGGAACATAAGAAATTGACATGTTTATTGAAGAGTCAGTAGTCATTTTTGAGAATAATCCAGAAGCCTCAAAGGGATCTCCACCATTAAAAAGTCCAAGAAGTCATCATTCAGTCTCTACTTGATTTTTTTCCTTCTATTAAAGTAAAATCCTCTATAGACCAAAGAGAATCAAAAGATCTAGTCTATTTAGTCTAAAATTTACCTAGCAACAAATAGTACTTACCCTCTGCAGAGATTCAGAAGAAATGGATTTTCCTCCCCTTGACAAGTTTATAGTATAATGGGAAAGCCAAAATAAAAGTATAAAATAGAACATTGACAAAAAAAAAATCAAACCTCAAACACACAAAGCAATATAAGGTAATAATAGCACATACGTATTGCTTTAATGTTTTATATTTATCTCTTTTGATCCTCACAACAACCCTAGGTGGTAAGTGCTATTATTATCATCATTTTGCAGATGAAGTATCTAAGTCTGAGAGATTTAAATGACTTGCCCAGAGTCACAAAGCTAGTAAGACTCTGGGGCTGAATTCAAACTCAGGTCTTCCTAATTCCAATTCCAGTGTTCTATGAGCTATGCCACCCACTTGCCTGGTTTACAAAAGAAAAAAGCATTGAGCATGGTCTTAAAGAAGAGAGGACATAACTAGGTAATTGCCAAATACTGTCAGTTCTACATCTGTAGACCAAGTTGTTGTTCAGTCACGTCTGACTCTTTCTGACCATGTGGACTTGTCTGTGGGATTTTCCTTGGTAAAGATACTGAAGTGGTTTGCCATTTTCTTCTACAGTGTGTGTCCATTTTACAGATGAGGAACTGAGGCAAATGGGGGTAAGTGACTTGCCCAGAATCACACCACTAGTAAGTGTCTGAATCTGGATTGGAACTCAGCTGTCCTTCCTGACTCCAGGCCCCAGTGCACTGCCTAGCTGCCTCTCAATTTTGAGCCTTCTGAAAGCTACCCCCAGGCACCTTTTGGTTCAGCATTTACTCAAAACCATTAACATGGACCCTCATTATTAAGCCAACCAAAAGACACATTAGTTGAAAGCCAAAGATATTTAGTGGAACAAAATAACAAAATAGGTAAGGAAAATTTCTCACATACACCCAAATTTCCCTCCCATAGATTTTCACAAGTTACCTCCCCATTTCCCTATTGTGAATCCTGTTCTCATCACCTCCTATTTGCCTCTTTGCACTATGAGGAAAAAAGTGACGGAGGCGATTTTCAAGTTGTGTCAATTCCCTAACAGCCCTTCTCCTTGCCCACTGGAGGAGGGGAGTAGCTCAGTCATTCATGGAAGATTACAGGAAACCTTTCTTCAGCTTGCAGTGTACTCTGGAAATTTCAGGATTGGAAAAGCTTTAAGTCTGACATGAGGAATTCTCTGGACAGGCATCACAAGTGAGGAGCAAAGCATCCTAGTGCTACTTCTACCAGTGATGCACTGCACTGGCATGGCCTAGCAACTTCAGGAGCAGCTTTCTGGAGAGGGACTCCAACACTAAGTCTTGCCACCAGTCCTAGCAAGAATTAGACATGTTAATTAAACCATAATCTTTCTGTTCTTCCTGTTACTACTTCCTACCTCTTCTCAAAAGCTTCCACACTCAGACAGACCCCTAGTACTTCAAGTTCAGGAACTTCTCATAATCAGCATAGCTCTCTGAGCCCCAAAGCATTGTGGGGGATGTAGTCTGGAGAAAACATGGAGTCTGCCTATCCAGACCTGCTCCTTACATTCCATGATACCTCTTGCATCCTTTACCTTCTCTCCATTCTTTCCTAGTTCAAAAGGCAGGGAAATCAATTAGGAGGCAATTGCAATGGCCCAGGCAATATGTTATCTCATATTGTTTTAAGATAGTTCTCTGACTCTTATCTCTCCCCTTTTAAGTCAGTCCATCCTTTACACAGCTATCAATAGAATCTTCCTAAAATCTGGATCTGACCACTCTGCTAAACCAATTCTCCCATGTTATGGTTTCAAGTTCTTGAAGAATCTTATCTTAAGGCCAACATTATTTAAAGTATTTTTATTAGTGATTTTTTTAAAAATTGAGAGTAAAGTTTTGAGTAGGTTTTTCATACATATTTAAAAACTTTACAGAAACCAGTTCATGGACTGTATAGTGATCTATTCAAAACCTCCATGCAATGTATTTGCCAGAGCAGAAGATGTTACAAACTGAGCCAAAGGTTTTGGGAGACCCCAAGCTGCTTCAGGGAGTAGGCAACTGGAACTGTGTAGAGAGTTAAAAGAGGCAGCCAGAGTGAAAAGAAGAAAAAGGTGGCCTGTTCAGAGAAAGCTAAAAAGACCTGAGGCTCTCATTTAATCACACCCCT